TCCAGTAATTTTTCCCGATATGCTGAAGAAAGACTTTTATTTACTGGCGAGATCTCGGAAACAAATCTCTAAATGTAGTGGCATCGTCAGGGATAAACTCGCGGACTCTATCATAGACAGACACTTAAAAGAATGTGAGAATTTCACTGTCAAAATACTCTCAGACACTCACCACCCATTACACAACGCATTTTCAAAAGCTGTATCCACATTATCCATATCTACTTATTGAGAAGGAATTTTAACAGAATTGCGCAATTGCTTGCTCCACTGATAAACACGATCTACTGCTTTCAGTTTCATTATGTAATGATTTTTTAAATTTGAATCCACACTTATGGTGTCAATGCTGGAAGTTCACCCATCCGGGTGCACAAAGCTATTACTGACTTGATTTGATAAAGTCTATCGCACACACAGTAACGCGGGCAAAGTAGTCCTACGTACTCTCTGAATATGCCGTCGTTACCTAAGGTGCTCCCCTGTGGCTATCCCGGCTCGCCCTAACTTGAGATTCGACTGCAAAGAATCTTTATTTAACCAGTTAATAAAAGACTAAGGCACTGTATGGGCGATATGTTAAGCCCAAAATGATTGATTGGCCTGGTCTGATATACCCAGTGGGGTGTTCGAACACCGCTGTCTACGTTGCATTGCAAGAGTCTGGTGGGGTAACCGGACGAGCATTATCGAAATTAGGCGCAGAATTTTAGGTAGTCGAGGCTGTTCACTGGAGCAAGTAGTCGATGGCCATAGATCACGCTGGTTGGGGCATGTTCAAGGCATGTCATCAAGACGGTTGCCACGGCGAGTGATGTTTACCGAGGCAGACAGCGTTCGGAAAAAAGGCCAAGAGTAGTCAAACGTACACCTGGCATGAGGGTATTAAAACCCTAACCAGGAGACTAGGTCACATAAGCCCGTTAGGCTCCCTGGACGGGGACCCTGAGATCATGGTCACTGACGATAAGAGACACTGAGTGATATGACTCCATTATGATCATTCATTGCGGTAAAGCAGGTTGGACTGCTCAAACGTGTTTTTGGATCGTTTGAGCCGGCTTTGTTTCCAAAATAGCTCTCTCGTTCCAAACAGGCTCTATAGGTACCCGTCGGATTGTGTTGACAATGCCAGTTCGTGTCTTGTAGCGGGTTTATCACACATTGTACACTCTTTTCTGATTTGTTGCAAATTTTCTCGCAATCAGATTGCGAACTGTGATGTTGCATTTTATCAAGACACTAAAGAAATCAAAAACGTCAACTGCGTTACACTCGTATACGTCTACGAGAAAAAAAACGATGAGAGGGCACAGGCGAAAAATTCAAATTTCTTACCTTTTTCAGCTGTCCCTGCGGGAAATGTAGCTTTTTGGGCCGCCGTGTCCGCTGTGGTTGCGAACGGGTCCGTTGAGAAGAACGGATCATTGGATATGGGCATTCCCATGGCCGATACTGGTTGCATACGATCCCGTCCGCCACCAGTCGAAGTAGCCAGAGCTGGTAGTGGGACTGATGAGGCACCTAAACCACGCGGAACCGAGCTCGAAGACCAATCCAGATCGCCAAACGCACCAGACAAACCACCGGGACCGGGACCAATACCGAGAGCGCCGTGACTACCACCACCACCTAATCCAGTATCGAAACTGGACAGACTGCCATTCAAACTGTTGTCATTTAGCTGATAATGATCAGAAAAGGGGTAAGTCGAGGAGAGTTGATTTTACGGTGTAAAGAAGCAGAAATGGGAGACAAACAGTATCAAGGTAAATCTGATGGATTCGGAAATCTCATCATATCCCAGGGTATTTTTATAGTTCCTAGGACGGAGTGGGTGAAGCAATTCCGAGTACTGAATTATCATATTCGCACAAAAAGCATAGATAAAGGCGAGATAAAAATGTAAAATAGGAAAGCAATAAGTCTCAATATAACCAACTGCTAAACCCCAAAACAAGTGACATTACATGGAAATCAGAAAACAATTTCAAGATGCAGCACATGGGTTAACCTAATGTGTAGACAGCGCGCATCATATCATCAAATGCATACAATTATTCATTCCGTTTCAGTTCATTTTGTACAATCATTAACCATGCTCTATCGTGCGCCGGTTTTCGTTGCTGTCTTTTGGCTGCCCGTTAGGATATAGAAGAGAAGAAGACAGGAAAGTTGAAAGTGGAGTCGAATAGAAAGTGGAGAATTTCAGTGGTCTAATGTTGGGAGGAAATTGAGATGCACGAAGGCCACTGGTTGCGACACCCAGCCATATCATTCACTGTCTCTAACCATCGGTTACGATCATCCCGAGGTCCCCAGCCAGGGAACCTAACGGGACCTGTGTGACTCAGTCCCCTGGTCAGGGTTTTCATACCCTCACGACAGGTTTTAGCTTGACCACCCTTGGCTTTATTCCACAAACCATCTGCATTGGCAAACATCACTCGCCGTGGTAACCTATCTGGTGACATGCGTAGCACATGTTCCAACCAGCGTAATCTATGGAGGTCGACCACTTGTTCCAATGAGCGACCGCGGTTACCCAAAACTCCGCGCCTAACCTCAAAATTGCTCAGCCGGCTGTCCCACCAGATTCGTGCAATGCTGCGTAGACAGCGGTGTTCAAACACTGACAGTCTGTCTTTATCTTGTTTTCTTAATGGCCAAGTTTCCGCACCGTAAAGTAGGACTGGCCGAGCTGTCGAGACATATACTCGACCCTTCACAGACTATCGGCTGTCGCGACGGCGCCACAAATGTCTCAAGTTGGCAAATACCAACCGAGCCTTCTGTATCCCAGCAGACACTTCATCCGTGATGTATCCACCGAGTGAGATGTAGCTGCACAAATTACAAAACTTATTCACTTGCTCTTTTACTTCTCCTGTTAGAATGAGTTTGGGTGCTGGACTCACCCAGTATTGTAGCCACATTTTACACTTTGAAGTTGTAAAACGAGTACCGAACATGGTCACACTGGCATTCAAGTTATCCAGAAAAGCTTGCAACTTACCTGGATCTTCACTT